AGTAATAGTTTTCAATAGAAGTGAGGTTAGGTAAGCGATATCACCTGCTATCCCTAATAATAGTGAAAGTAAAATTCAATTAAATGCAATCGTGTTACATTGTATGTTTAATTTCGATCAATGACTTCAAAAATGCGGAGTTGGAATTTTATTGACATCATGGGAACATATCAGAGATTCAGAGGTACAATGATATTTTTAAAATGACCCCATATTATTTCCGTGAATATCAAAAATATTTGAAATCAGCAATTCACATTTCTTATTCTAAAGAATTTCAAATAAATTATGGTCATCCGAGCATTGACCTCCTCTAAAAAAAAAAACAAAAACTTCTCTATGACATAACTTTTCAAAACCATTTGTCATCATTGGAAGGCAAATATTTTGTCATATCATGGACGTTAATTACACACAATTGAATTGAACTTTGTCGTATGTCCAGCAGCATCAGCGGGCACATAATTTTGTCCATTAGAGCGGATATTCTAAGAGTATTTTTTTATTCAGCATTTCTTTTCATATTTTAATTATGCTTAGGCATGAATAATTAAAAGCAGCAAACATTGAAGAAAATACCGGCATCGTTAAGTCCCTACTCATATTATTCTTTTTTTGGACAATGACCATCCAACAAACGTAAGGGTGGATTTAAAAAAAATATTTTTTTCAATCAACCAACATAGGCGTGGATTTTTCAAAAAATATTTTTCCACACAGCTAACAAAGGCGTGGGGGTGGCGTAGGGGATGATAGATACCAAGCAATGGCTCTGATTGGCTTTAACATGGCGAAGCCCAGGCTTATCTCGGTCCCCCTTTCATCTCAATTGTGGACACTGACCTCCCCGCGGTGTCACCTGGGATAGCTATTTTTCATCAACCGTTGAAATAGTGAGCTAATATGTGCCGCAAGTTCACCCATAAGAACTATAAAAAATGGATTGAGGCGTCGGTTTAGTTGCCCACAGTCGGAAAACCCCTCCTACTATGAAAAAGCAAAGAAAAAGAAAACCAAACCCCCCATAATGTTGACGACCCCCGCAAACGTATAAAGGACCACGATCTGCGAATCTGCACTTGGAATGTGCGCACGTTGTATAGGATAGGCGTAGTTCTCGCTTTGGCGGATGTACTCAAGAAGTACAGAGCCGATATTATTGCCTTACAGGAAATGCGATGGAAAGGGATAGGCGTAAGTAAATCAGACGATTACGCATTGTATTATAGCTGCCATGAAACGAGACATGAATTTGGCTGCAGATTTATAATTAACAGGAGATTAAAAAACCTCCAGATTCACTCCAGTAGATGAGCGAATTGCTATAATCCACATAAAAGCGAAGTTCTTCTACATCAGTCTTATTTGCGCCCATGCTCCGACCGAAGACAAAGATGAGCAGACCAGAGATATATTTTACGAGCGACAAGAAACAGCATATGACAGCTGCCCTGGCCATGACATTAAAATTTTGCTAGGAGATTTTAATGCAAAAAGCGGAAGGTAAAATATCTTTGGCCCCATCGTCGGAAAATTCAGCCTTCATGAAGAAACTTCACACAACGGCATGAGGTTGATTGTCTTCGCGTCAGTAAAAACATCGTAGTTAGCAGCACCAGATTCAAGCATCTCGATATACACAAGGCCACCTGGATTTCTCCCGATTGAACAACGAGAAATCAAATCGATCATGTTGTGCTAGACGAAAGGCATTCATCCAGTGTTTTAGACGTCTGATCGATCCGGGGAACGAATATCGATTCGGACCACTACCTTGTAGCAGCCAAGGTTCGCACTCGTCTTAATGTTGCAGCTGCAAACACAACAGGTAACCGAGGCCTACTCCGCTCAACTTACCCACCTGCTTGACGAAAGCACTTCTTGTCCCGATAATAGTATAGAAGCACAATGGCAAGAAATTGCCCACTGCCTACAAACTGCAGCAAAAGCAACACTTGGGTACCAAAAAACACCAATAAGGAACCCATGATTCGATCAGGAGTGTCGAAATTCAACTGATGTGTAAAACCCAGCGTATAGGGCAACCTTGCAGACAGTAGCAACACGTAATGTGATGGAGAATTATCGGGAGGAAAGAAGAGGGGAACAACGTGTTTTCAAAAAAAGAAGAATGAACAAGAAAAATGTGAGCGTGAACAAATCGACATGTACAGGAGTCATAATGAAGTCCGGAAATTTTACCAACGAATAAAACACCAAACCGAAGGTTTTGGATCAGGCACATCCTCCTGCAGAGATGAAGAAGGAAACCTGGTAACAGATACAATCAGCGAGTTGAGGTATAAAGAAGAATATCCCACAACCAATAAGAGATGATGGTATAGAGTGTATACCACCTAGCCAAGATGAAGTCAGAATAGCAATTAATCGGCTCAAGAACAATAAAGCAGCAGGAGCCGACGGGTTACCAGCCGAACTATTCAAGACTGGTGGTCAGATGCTGGTCAGGAGCATACACCAGCTGATTAGTACAATTTGACTAGAGGAATGCATGCTCAATGATTGGAACCTCAGCATCCTACTATAAAGAAATAAGTCTCCTTCCCATCGCATATGAAGTGCTATCCAGTGTGCTGTGTGAACGACTGAATACAATGGTCAATGACATTATTGGACCATACCAATGCGGATTCAGACGTGGCAAATTCACCATTGACCAGATTTTCATAAAGCGGCATATAAAGCCGCATTTGACAGCTCTATCCGTTCAGAGATGTTTAAAGCCATGTCTACGTTCGGCATTCCTGCAAAATTAATACGGATATGCAGGACAACTTTAAGTGGCACAAGGTCAGCAGTTAAAGTCGGAAAGGACCTATCGGAGCCCTTCAATATCGGACGAGGATTCAGACAAGGTGACAGTTTGTCGTGTGATCTTTTTCACATCCTGCTGGAAAGGGTCATACGAGACGCAAAGGTGAACAGAAATTACACTCTGTACACCAAACAATACATGTTACTCGCCTACACCGATGACATCGATATAATGGGTCGAACATTGCGTGCAGTAACAGTCACCTTTGAACAAATTGAGAAGGAGTCTGCCAAAGTGGATGTGGCAGTAAACGGCGAGAAGGTAGTAAAAGATTTTATATACCTTGGTACCGCCATAAATAAAACGTATGACATCAGTTTTGAAATTCAGAGAAGGATTGTGATGGCCAACAGATGCTACTATGGTCTAAGTATGATACTACCCGTGCTGTTATATGGGTCTGAAGCATGGGTACTTGCGCAAGCAGATGAGGCAGCTCTTTTGGTGTTTGAAAGAAAAATTCTCCGAAAGATCTACGGGCCGATCTGCGTCTACGGTGAATATCGGCGTCGAATGAACCGAAACCTTTAGAATTTATACGGACATCGACATAGTCAGTCGTATTGAGCTGCAGCGACTACGATGGCTAGGCCATGTTCTGCGAATGAATGAGAATGCCCCAGCTCAAAAGGCATAAAAAAGCGAGCCTACTGATGGTTCCCGTAGAAGGGGAAGGCCACAAATCAGAAGGAAAGACCAAGTAGAAAAGAACACAAGACCATCGCGCTTGGAAATTTAAGCACGGCTTATGGAACAACCGTTCTGTAACAAGCCAGCTAAGTAAGTAAAATAGGCGTGGATTTTTTAAAAATATTTTTTCAATCAACCAACATAGGCGTGGATTTTTTTATAAATATTTTTTCAATCAACCAACATAGGCGTGGATTTTTTTAAATATATTTTTTCAATCAACCAACATAGGCGTGGATTTTTTTAAAAATATTTTTTCAATCAACCAACATAGGCGTGGATTTTTTTAAAAATATTTTTTCAATCAACCAACATAGGCGTGGATTTTTTTAAAAATATTTTTTCAATCAACCAACATAGGCGTGGATTTTTTTAAAAATATTTTTTCAATCAACCAACATAGGCGTGGATTTTTTTAAAAATATTTTTTCAATCAACCAACATAGGCGTGGATTTTTTTAAAAATATTTTTTCAATCAACCAACATAGGCGTGGATTTTTTTAAAAATATTTTTTCAATCAACCAACATAGGCGTGGATTTTTTTAAAAATATTTTTTCAACATCGTGGATTTTTTTAAAAATACCAACATAGGCGTGGATTTTTTTAAAAATATTTTTTCAATCAACCAACATAGGCGTGGATTTTTTTAAAAATATTTTTTCAATCAACCAACATAGGCGTGGATTTTTTTAAAAATATTTTTTCAATCAACCAACATAGGCGTGGATTTTTTTAAAAATATTTTTTCAATCAACCAACATAGGCGTGGATTTTTTTAAAAATATTTTTTCAATCAACCAACATAGGCGTGGATTTTTTTAAAAATATTTTTTCAATCAACCAACATAGGCGTGGATTTTTTTAAAAATATTTTTTCAATCAACCAACATAGGCGTGGATTTTTTTAAAAATATTTTTTCAATCAACCAACATAGGCGTGGATTTTTTTAAAAATATTTTTTCAATCAACCAACATAGGCGTGGATTTTTTTAAAAATATTTTTTCAATCAACCAACATAGGCGTGGATTTTTTTAAAAATATTTTTTCAATCAACCAACATAGGCGTGGATTTTTTTAAAAATATTTTTTCAATCAACCAACATAGGCGTGGATTTTTTTAAAAATATTTTTTCAATCAACCAACATAGGCGTGGATTTTTTTAAAAATATTTTTTCAATCAACCAACATAGGCGTGGATTTTTTTAAAAATATTTTTTCAATCAACCAACATAGGCGTGGATTTTTTTAAAAATATTTTTTCAATCAACCAACATAGGCGTGGATTTTTTTAAAAATATTTTTTCAATCAACCAACATAGGCGTGGATTTTTTTAAAAATATTTTTTCAATCAACCAACATAGGCGTGGATTTTTTTTAAAAAATAAAACATTAGAAAGCATTTAAACAATAAAATAAGGTGATTGTTTCAGACGTTTATTTAAAAAAAATCTCCCCTCTTTCCACACATCAATACATTCTCAAATGCAGCAGATGTCTAAAACGTCCCTGGGCCTCCTTCAGGGAAGTTTTTCGTGTTTCCGGTATGGTCACTAGCAGGGCAACCGCCGCCAATATGGTCAAAACTCCAGGAGCAATATAAGCCGCACCATTGACCCGTTTAAATGTACAAATGACAATTATGTGAATCAGCTGTTCCACCACCACACAAACCGCAATGAAGTACCCTTTTAATTTGAGAGGGAATGCTTCACCCAAATAGGCCGATGTAAAAGGAGCATAGGCACCGGCAAAAAATTGTACCAATAAACACAGAGATGTCACAATGGCCATTGGTCTTTCCAGGAATAAATTTATATAGTTCTGACAGATACCCCCTATACCGATTAATAGACCTCCAATGATCACAGCACACACCAGAGATGGCAGTTTCCGACCAATATAATCGATTTGCGGGTAGGCCAGGCAACCACCAAAAATACGCAAACAGGCGGCCACAATTGCCGGCCATGTCAGGTGATTTGTAACGGCACCGAGATTCAAAGCCTCACTCAGCGGTAAGGAGAAACTAAATGCCAATATCATACTGCGAAATAATATCATCTTTGCCAAGGGCAGGGCTCCCCTCTTAATATCATCCATAAGATCGAGGCTGTCCTCATAGTTTACGTACTCCTTGAGTTCCATGAAACGTTCTTTGGTCGTTGTACTAACGGTCTTGGGTAATTCCAAATGGGCCAAGGCATTCCATGCCAAAGCCTCGTCCTTTTTCAGCAGACCCACAATTGGTGATTCAATGAAACAAAATTGTGCCAACAGCCCAGCGGCTAGGGCAAACAATATATCCAAGATGCCAAGGACACGTAAATCAGGAAATGTGGCAAAAGGACTCCATTGAGAGCCATAGATCATTTGTATGGCAATACCCAGAGTTAGGGAGAATTGTTCGATGGCCGAACAGGAACCTCGATAGCTATTGGAGGCGATTTCACTGACATGCATCAGAAATGTTATAGTGGCCAGACCCACAGCAATGCCGTTGAGATAGCGACCAGCCAGCAAAGGGCCAGCATTAGTTGGGGCACTGGTCAAGATAATGCCATCGATTAGAATTAATACTGAAGAGGTTAGCTGCAGAATAAAGAAAAAGGTTTTATTAAATAAATTTAAAATTTATTTATATTTTAAATTGCCATTCTTACCATTACACATTTTTTGGGGGCATACCACAGAAGTGGCAAACATGCCACAGCTCCTATTATAACTCCAATAAACCAAGAAAATTCGAAATGTCGAAGATTGCCATAGGTATTGTAGATGGGTATGAAACCTAAGCCCAGGGCCAAATGCATGCCAGCTGATATAAATATGAATATGGCTGAAAGAAAACAGGATGCAAATTTTTTGATTTAGAGATCCACGCCTATGTTAGGACATTGAAAAAATATTTTTAAAAACTCCACGCCTATGTTGGGACATTGAAAAAATATTTTTAAAAAATACACGGCAATGTTGGGACATTGAAAAAAAATATTTTTAAAAAATCCCCAACTACGGAAGTCGTTGAATTGTTTTCTGTAGAAAAATATATCTCAGGGAAAAAAACTTACCTGGCAATGTTGTTATGGGCACCAGCGAATTACAACACCAATATCCATATTTACTGTATTGTGATTTATTCGAGTCATCGGTTACAACTACGGGAATTGAGGGATTCATGGGTGCTTAAACCAAATTTCTGTTGTTTTCGTTTTCAAAATTTCTCTATTTGTTGGTTTAACCAATTTCATTAAATGTTTTAATAAGACTGATTTTTTATCAAACCGAGTTCTGTTTGTTTTGATTTTTTTTTTCGTTTTTTTCTAGGTAATAATTTTTTTTTGACGATTATGGACATAATTTTGATAACATTTTTTTTTGTGTATTGACATATGACGTTATGAAAGGCAGATAACTGCGGCATATCGACAACACTACACACCTACAATACAATATAAATATCTAGGTGAATTAGGGGCCATACTCGGTGGTATGCCTTCCAATGCTAGGTGATGTTTAACTCAGTTCGCCAAATCTTAATTTCCGGACTAGGCACCTTTTGCTTTTCGATTTTGTTGCAGTTTTTTTTTATTTTTGAGAATTTTCAACCCAATGTGCAGGGTATTATTTATCTATATGTTTTGATATTGAAAGTTTTTGTGATAACGTAGCGTGGTATACTTTTTCCTTATCATAAAAAATAGGAAAAAACAAAATTGACGCATCGCTAACAGGCAAAGCAGAACAAAAAATAATTCTGCGGTTTGGCTTTGTGTGAATCGGTTGGCGTTGTTTCGTCGTAAGAAGTAACTCAGATATCTCGGTATAATATTGCGAAATTTCTATGAGTCATCATAGTCTCAATTAAACTTTTGGTGTGGGAGGCTCATTCTGAAAATCAAGCATAGATTATTCAGATTGCGGCTAACAAAAATAAACCAATGTACCACAAAATCTGTCAAAAAAAAAAATCCACGACTATCTTTCGAAAAAAAAAAAATCCACGCCTATTGCCCATTTCGGGCATATAAAAAAAAGCTCGAGAAAATCTTTAAAAAATCCACGCCTATTGCCCATTTCGGTAGCTCGAAAAAATCTTTAAAAAATCCACGCTTATTGCCCATTTCGGTAGGTCGAAAAAATCTTTAAAAAATCCACGCCTATTGCCCATTTCGGTAGCTTGAGAAAATCTTTAAAAAATCCACGCCTATTGTCCATTTCGGTAGCTCGAAAAAATCTTTAAAAAATCCACGCCTATTGCCCATTTCGGTAGCTCGAAAAAATCTTTAAAAAAATCCACGCCTATTGCCCATTTCGGTAGCTCGAAAAAATCTTTAAAAAATCCACGCCTATTGCCCATTTCGGTAGCTCGAAAAAATCTTTAAAAAATCCACGCCTATTGCCCATTTCGGTAGCTCGAAAAAATCTTTAAAAAATCCACGCCTATTGCCCATTTCGGTAGCTCGAAAAAATCTTTAAAAAATCCACGCCTATTGCCCATTTCGGTAGCTCGAAAAAATCTTTAAAAAATCCACGCCTATTGCCCATTTCGGTAGCTCGAAAAAATCTTTAAAAAATCCACGCCTATTGCCCATTTCGGTAGCTCGAAAAAATCTTTAAAAAATCCACGCCTATTGCCCATTTCGGTAGCTCGAAAAAATCTTTAAAAAATCCACGCCTATTGCCCATTTCGGTAGCTCGAAAAAATCTTTAAAAAATCCACGCCTATTGCCCATTTCGGTAGCTCGAAAAAATCTTTAAAAAATCCACGCCTATTGCCCATTTCGGTAGCTCGAAAAAAATCTTTAAAAAATCCACGCCTATTGCCCATTTCGGTAGCTCGAAAAAATCTTTAAAAAATCCACGCCTATTGCCCATTTTGGTAGCTCGAAAAAATCTTTAAAAAATCCACGCCTATTGCCCATTTCGGTAGCTCGAAAAAATCTTTAAAAAATCCACGCCTATTGGAATGCCTTTGAAATTTTTTACAAAATCGACGCATATTGTCCTTTTTGGGTGTCTCTAAAAAATCTTTAAAAACTCCAGACTTCGGGTCCTTAAAATTTTATTTATTTAATCAGTATTTTGTTTATCGTAACTTATCGCTTAAATATAAAATTAAAAACTAAATAGAAATTCGTAATTCACTTTAAAACATTTTCAAATTCAATAAATTCACAAATCTCTCCTGAGCCTCTCTCAGGGTGATTTTCTTTGTCTCCGGCATTGTCACAAAGAATGCCGCAGCCGATATTAATATCATAATTCCCATGGCCATTAGACTACCATCATTGCCAATGGAGACCTGACTAATTATAACGATTTGTATAATTTGTTCGACTATCACACACACAGCCATACAAAAAGCTTTGGTACGCAGCGGAAAAGATTCACCCATATAGGCAGAACTGACGGGCGCATAAAGACCAGCAAAAAATTGCATACAAATCCAGAGAGAAACCACTGTGGACATTTTATGGCTATTTAACAAATTCATGCTATGCGTCACAATGACCGCCATCGGAACCATTAGACCACCCATAATGAGGGCCCAAATAGATGCTGGCAATTTACGACCCATATTATCGATTATCACCAAAGTCATGCCACTGCCAATGATACGTAAACATGCAGCCAATATAGGGGTCCAGGTGAAACCAATCAGCTGGGTGGAGTATGCCAAGAGACTGGTCAAAATTGCCGAATATGTAAAGGCCAGCAACGCACTGCGAAAGAACAACATTTTCAGCAGCGAAATTAGGCTACGCTGTAGCAATTCTCGTGGTGAAAGATATTCCTGTTCCTGAACATAATGCTTCAGTTCCTCCAGGCGGCGATTTGTTTCCATTGTTATGCTCGGATTCTGTTGTAATTGACTTAGACATTCCAAGGCTGCCGTATCGTTCCCCAAGCGTACAAAATCCACTGGTGATTCGATAAAATAAATTAAAGAACCTGCAGCCAAAATGGCCATAATTATGTCCAATATACCATGAAGGCAGTTAACGGAAAAACTCGACATCACATCCCACTGTGAGGTGGTTATCATTTGTATAGCTATACCAAGACTTAGAGAGAATTGTTCCAGACCCAAGCACACACCACGTATACGATTGCGTGATAATTCACTGGCATAGATTAGATAGGTTGTGATGGCCAAACCCACTGCCATGCCATTTAGATAACGTGCCGCCACCAAGGCATCAATATTGCGGGGAGCACTAGCGAAAATTATACCACCCGCCAAAATTAGAACCGCTGAAGAGGCCTAGAAGAAATGTTACTGGGGTTTTACTGGGTTTGTTAGAGAATTATTCAAAAAAATACCTACCATTATAAATTTTTTGGGTAAAACATAGCCCAGTAATATCGACACCAAGGCACCCAGAGCTACAGCAATAAACCAGCTATAGAGAAAGTGGCGATCCGCATTAATGTCTGACCAACCAACACTTTGGGCCAAGCTCATACCAGCCGAAATGAATATGAAGACACCTGAAATAAAAAAAAAAATAAGTAAACTTAAAAATCGTTAATAAACACACGCCCATTGTCCTTTAGGGATACCTTTAAAAATCGTTAATAAACACACGTCCATTGTCCTGTAGGTATGCCTTTATAAAGCGTTAAAAAATCCACGCCTATTGTGGTTTAGGGATGCCTTTAAAAATCTTAAAAAAATAAACCTATTGCCCTTTAGGGATGCCTTTAAAAATAGTTAAAAAGTCAGCGCCTATTGTCCTTTAAAGATGCCTCTAGAAATCTTTACAATATCCATTGCTATTGTCCTTTAGGGATGTCCTTTTGAAAGCCTTCAAAAAATCTTTAAAAAAAATCCACGCCTATTGTCCTTTTGGTAGCCTTCAAAAAATCTTTAAAAAAATCCACGCCTATTGTCCTTTTGGTAGCCTTCAAAAAATCTTTAAAAAAATCCACGCCTATTGTCCTTTTGGTAGCCTTCAAAAAATCTTTAAAAAAATCCACGCCTATTGTCCTTTTGGTAGCCTTCAAAAAATCTTTAAAAAAATCCAAGTCCTTTTGGTAGCCTTCAAAAAATCTTAAAAAAATCCAGGCCTATTGTCCTTTTGGTAGCCTTCAAAAAATCTGTACACAATCCAAGCATATTGTCCTCTTGGTAGCGTTCAAAAAATCGTTAAACAATCCACGCCTATTGTCCTTTTGGTAGCCTCCAAAAAATCTTTAAAAAATCTCCACCCATTGTCCTTTGGGTATGCCTCCAAAAAATCTCACCTGTTGTCAGTGAACTCAATTGCTTTGAGGAAAAATTTGCCCTTAATGGTGACGGTGGTTGCGGTGCAGCACCCGTGGGATGTATTATCGTTGCTGATTTTTGCATTTTTATAATCGCAGGTGTATTCTCATTCAATATATTTTTTTTAAATAAACCAAGGTTTATTTAAGAATGGTAAAAACAACTGGGTGTACTCCAAGACAGCTTATTAAATATTCCAACTAACTGCTTATAGGTTCTAACAATGACTGATGATATCTCGTGCAAAAAACAAAACGCTTTGTTTTGCAACTGCAGATAAGATTGTGGTCGGTTACACTGGCACGCCGTGTGTGTAAGGTCGGTGAGAGTAATAAAAAAACCCAAGATAAAATATTTCAAATAATTGTGTATAAACAAATTTCTGCTATAGATAGGTTTTATACCCCCAATACGACGGACTACCCGAGGGTAATTCCATGATTTTTTTTTAATTTTTAATTCCATGATAAGGCGTGGATTTATGAAGTTTTTTCGAGCAACAAAAAAGGACTATAGTTGTGGATTTTTTAAAGATTTTTAAAGGCATCCCTAAACCACAATAGGCGTGGATTTTTTAAAGATTTTTAAAGGCATCCCTAAAGGGCAATAGGCGTAGATTTTTTAAAGATTTTTAAAGGCATCCCTAAAGGGCAATAGGCGTAGATTTTTTAAAGATTTTTAAAGGCATCCCTAAAGGGCAATAGGCGTAGATTTTTTAAAGATTTTTAAAGGCATCCAAAGGGCCGTAGATTTTTTAAAGGGCAATAGGCGTAGATTTTTTAAAGTTTTGTAAAGGCATCCCTAAAGGGCAATAGGCGTAGATTTTTTAAAGTTTTGTAAAGGCATCCCTAATAAGGCGGGGATTTTTCAAAGATTTGTATAGGCATCCCTAAGTAGGCGGGGATATTTTAATCTTTTTAAGAGTTTTTAGATAATATTTTTTATAAATTGTTTATTTGGTAATAAATTATTTTATTTACAATATAAATTTGTTAAAATTTTGCTCAAAACATTTTCAAATTTAAAAATTTTCTAAACCTAGCTTGAGCTTCCTGCAGCGTAGTTTTCTTCGTTTCTGGCATTGTTATTACAAATACAACAACAGCAACTAACACCATTATTCCCGTGACTATTAGCATAGCATCTAGAGGCGATAACCACAAAATAATTTGTATTATTTGTTCAACAATAACACACACAGCCATGCAAATTCCCTTGGAATGGAGGGGGAAAGCTTCACCCATATAGACAGAGGTAATTGGGGCAAAGAGGCCATCAATGACATGCAGTGATATCCACATAGCAACAACTGAGGACATCTTATGGCGGTCTAGAATATTAAACCAACTGTCGGTTGCAACTGCCATTGGTATTAGGAGGCCAGCTATGACAAGGGCCCACACTGAACCGGGTATTTTACGTCCCAGGCTATCCATAATGCTCAACGAAGCCAAACTGCCAGCTAAACGTAAACAACCCGCCAAGATTGGTGACCAAGTAACGCCCACAGTTAGCATTGTCATGACCAGGGCATTTGAAACCGCCACGGAATTGCTAAAGGATAACATCATACTGCGAAACAGTATCATCTTGAATAGAGGCACCAGACTCCTTTTGGCAATTTCCCTTGTGGATAAATTGTTTTCTTCCTCCACGTAGTCCTTCAGCTCCGCCAAACGTTGATTTGTCTCCATTGTAATGCCGGCTGTTTTTTGTAATTTATTTAGGCATTCCAAGGCGGCGGTATCATCCCCCAATCGGATATAGTCCAGCGGTTATTCGATGAAATAAATTAACGAGCCCATGGTCAAGACGACCATAAAAATATCCAATATTCCCTGTAAGGCGTCTTGTGACAAACTCCAGGAGTACGGCCATTGCGTAGCCATAATCATTTGCAGCGCTATGCCAATGCTAATGCCTAATTGTTCCAGGCCTAGATTTAGGCCACGTCGACGATTTTCTGACAATTCACCGGCATACATTAGATACGATATTGTGGCCACGCCCACACCGAGGCCATTGAAATAACGTGCCGCAATTAAAGCATCCTCACTGTTCGGAGAACTAACACGAATAATACCACCGACTAGGACCATTACTGAGGCAGCTGCCTGGAAGAGAAAATAACCCAATAAAATTATAATTTATTATTGTAATTTTCGTCAGAGATGCTCTACACCCACCATAATATATTTTTTGGGAACTACATAGACCAATAACACAGCAATTAAGGCGCCCAAAGCCATAGCTATGAACCAGCAATATAATATGTGACGGCTCTCCATTATAAAACCAAAATAAATGAAGCCCAAGCTCTGTATTAGGCTCATGCCACCCGATATGAAGAGGAAAAAACCTGAAAGGTGAATGGAAATATTTTTTTTTAGTTAAAATTATTTTTTAGGAGGACAATGGGCGTGTATTTGTTTTAAACAATATTTAAGAGGATAATAGGCCTGGATTTTTTAAAGATTTGTAGGAGGGCAATAGGCCTGGATTTTTTTAAAGGTTTGTAGGAGGACAATAGAAGTAGATTTTTAACGATTTCTAGGTGGACAGCAGGCGTGCATTAACACTCGTTTCCAACGTAAATCTAGTACATATCCCCTCTTGTATCTGTTGGCACACAGATGACTGCTGACGGCTAAAAGGAAGGACGGAACTGAGATTTTTTAGTGAAGGACTTGCTCTTCACTTCCCCTTCCAGAGCACAATAAAACACGTCCGGCGGAGCATCAAGTTATAAAAGAGTGTATAGATTTAAAAATACCCCCTGCACACGGTGATAGCAATTTATACGCGTGTTGATGATAAGCGAATTTTGATATGATGTCACTTCCTCACTTACCCGCACTGAGAGATGCCATTAGATTCGGTTTAAAGCTTTTCGTCGTTGGTGGCGCTTGCCTTCCTGACGAACTGCTGGTGGGCTCGATTGTATTCGATTTTGCCTGTTCCATATTTATTCACAAATATTAACCCTCAATTCGCTGCCGATTTATTCCACTGGAATATTTGTTGTTAGCGTTAAAGCTTCAGAATATCAATTATAAGAAATAAATTCACATTTATCTAATCAATGTTCAACTTCTTTGTCAAAAAAAAATTTAAACATAAGCGGGGATTTTTTAACATGTAAGCGGGATTTTTTTTATATATTGTCAAGGAAAGATTATCTTTAAAAGGGCATCCCACCACAATAGGCGTGGATTTTTTAAAGATTTTTAAAGGCATTCCTAAACCACAATAGGCGTGGATTTTTTAAAGATTTTTAAAGGCATCCCTAAACCACAATAGGCGCGGATTTTTAAAGGCATCCCTAAACCACAATAGGCGTGGATTTTTTAAAGATTTTTAAAGGCATCCCTAAACCACAATAGGCGTGGATTTTTTAAAGATTTTTAAAGGCATCCCTAAACCACAATAGGCGTGGATTTTTTAAAGATTTTTAAAGGCATCCCTAAACCACAATAGGCGTGGATTTTTTAAAGATTTTTAAAGGCATCCCTAAACCACAATAGGCGTGGATTTTTTAAAGATTTTTAAAGGCATCCCTAAACCACAATAGGCGTGGATTTTTTAAAGATTTTTAAAGGCATCCCTAAACCACAATAGGCGTGGATTTTTTAAAGATTTTTAAAGGCATCCCTAAACCACAATAGGCGTGGATTTTTTAAAGATTTTTAAAGGCATCCCTAAACCACAATAGGCGTGGATTTTTTAAAGATTTTTAAAGGCATCCCTAAACCACAATAGGCGTGGATTTTTTAAAGATTTTTAAAGGCATCCCTAAACCACAATAGGCGTGGATTTTTTAAAGATTTTTAAAGGCATCCCTAAACCACAATAGGCGTGGATTTTTTAAAGATTTTTAAAGGCATCCCTAAACCACAATAGGCGTGGATTTTTTAAAGATTTTTAAAGGCATCCCTAAACCACAATAGGCGTGGATTTTTTAAAGATTTTTAAAGGCATCCCTAAACCACAATAGGCGTGGATTTTTTTAAAGATTTTTAAAGGCATCCCTAAACCACAATAGGCGTGGATTTTTTAAAGATTTTTAAAGGCATCCCTAAACCACAATAGGCGTGGATTTTTTAAAGATTTTTAAAGGCATCCCTAAACCACATTTTTAAGAAACCACAATAGGCGTGGATTTTTTAAAGATTTTTAAAGGCATCCCTAAACCACAATAGGCGTGGATTTTTTAAAGATTTTTAAAGGCATCCCTAAACCACAATAGGCGTGGATTTTTTAAAGATTTTTAAAGGCATCCCTAAACCACAATAGGCGTGGATTTTTTAAAGATTTTTAAAGGCATCCCTAAACCACAATAGGCGTGGATTTTTTAAAGATTTTTAAAGGCATCCCTAAACCACAATAGGCGTGCATTTTTTAAAGATTTTTAAAGGCATCCCTAAACCACAATAATTTTCTAAAGATTTTTTTCCTGCACAATAGATTTTTAAAGGCATTGTTATTCCAAAATAATTTGTATTAGTTGTTCGACAATAACACACACTGCCAAACAAATTCCCTTGGAGTGCAGGGGGAAGGCTTCACCCATATAGACAGAGGTAATAGGGGCAAAGAGGCCATCAATGGCATGCAGTGATACCCACATACCAACAACTGAGGACATCTTATGACGGTTTATAATATTAAACCAACTGCCGGTTGCAACAGCCATTGGTATAAGGAGACCACCTATGACAAGGGCCCACACTGAACCGGGTATTTTACGGCCTAAACTGTCCATAACGCTCAACGAAGCCAAACTGCCAGCTATACGCAAACAACCCGCCAATATTGGTGACCAAGTAATGGCCACAGTTAGCATTGACAGGGCTAGGGCATTTGAAACCGCCACGGAATTGCTGAAGGACAGCATCATACTGCGAAAGAGTATCATCTTGAATAGAGGCACCAGACTCCGTTTGGCAATTTCCCTTGTGGATAAATTGTTTTCTTCCTCCACGTAGTCCTTGAGCTCCGCCAAACGTTGATTTGTCTCCATGGTAATGCCGTCTGTTTTTTGTAATTTACTCAGGCACTCCAAGGCGGCGGTATCATCACCCAAACGTATATGGTCCAGCGGTGATTCAATGAAATAGATTAACGAGCCCATGGTCAGGACGACCATAAGAATATCCAATATTCCCTGTAGGGCGTTTTGTGACAAACTCCATGAGTACTGCCATTGCGTAGTCATAATCATTTGCAGCGCTATGCCAATGCTAAGGCCTAATTGTTCCAGGCCTAGATTTAGGCCACGTCGACGATTTTCTGACAATTCACCGGCATACATTAGATACGATATTGTGGCCACTCCCACACCGAGGCCATTGAAATAGCGTGCCGCAATAAAAACAGCCACACTCTTCGGAGAACTGACACGAATAATACCACCGACTAGGACAAGGACTGAAGCAGCTGCCTGAAAAATTAGAGAAAATTGTAATTTATTATTGTAATTTTCGAGAGAGATGCTCTACGCCCACCATAATAACTTTTTTGGAAATAACATAGCCCAATAAGACAGCCAGTAAGGCACCTAAAGCCATAGCTATGAACCAGCAATAGAATACGTGAGGATTCTCGATTATGAAACCAAAATAAATGAAGGCCAAACTCTGGATCAGGCTCATGCCACCCGATATAAAAAGGAAAAAACCTGAAAGGGAAATATTTTTTAAAGTTGTCTTCTAGGAGGGCAATATGGGTGGATTTTTAAAAATTTGTTTAAAAGCAATAGGCGTGGATTTTTTAAAGATTTTTTTAGGAGGACAATAGGCTTGGATTTTTAAAAGATTTTTGGAGGATAATAGGCATGGATTTTTTAAGATTTTTAGGAGGACAATAGGCGTAGATTTTTTTAGGAGGACAATAGGCGTGGATTTTTTAAAGATTTTTTAGGAGGACAATAGGCGTGGATTTTTCAAAGATTTTTTAGGAGGACAATAGGCGTGGATTTTTTAGGAGGACTATAGACGTGGATTTTTTTAAAGATTTTTTAGGAGGACAATAGGCGTGGATTTTTAAAAGATTTTTGGAGGATAATATGCATGGATTTTTTTAAACATTTTTTAGGAGGACAATAGGAGGACAATAGGCTTGGATTTTTTTTTAAGATTTTTTTAGGAGGACAATAGGCCTGGATTTTTTAAGATTTTTTGGATTTTTTAAAGATTTTTTAGGAGGAAAATAGGTGTGAATTTTTTGATAACCGGTTTTTGATATGATGATGTCACTTCCACACTTACCTGAACTGAGAGATGCCATTAGATTGGGTTTAAAGTTCTTGGTCGTTTGTGGCGCTCGCCTTGCTGACGAACTGCTGGTGGGATTGATTGTATTCGATTTTGGATGTTCCATATTTATACACAAATATTGGCCGACAATTGGTAGCAGATATTTTTCACTGGGTATATTTTTTCGACAAGTTTAAACACCAACCAGTAGAAGGGGACTACTACCAAAACATCAATATTTCTTTGTCCATTTATTGATATTTAAAAAAAATTGATAAGGATAATGATAACAACCGGCTGCGAAGTTCAACCAAAAGCAAGATAATATAGATGATAATTTGTTGTTAGCGTTAAGGTTTCAGTAGGGAAATAATAAAACAACATTGAATTTTTAAAGAATATTTTTATAAGGCGGGCATTATTTAAAGAATATTTTTTCAATGGCTATATAAGGCGTGCATTATTTAAAGAATATTTTTTTAATCTTAGGAATAATTTTTATTATTTTGATTTTATTTTTATTTTACATCAATTTCAAATTAAAGAAATATCGAAATTTTTTCTGAGCTTCGCGCAAAGTTGTACGCTTTGTTTCGGGCATTGTCAGGCAAAAGTAGATGCATGCCAGCAATATCGTTACACTTTCCGCCAATAGAACTCCTCGGTTGCCATAACCAACATTAGCAAGGATAATCGAAAGCTGTATGGCTTCTTCCACAATGACACATGCCCCCACACAATATTGCTTAGCCTTTATGGGAAATGCCTCCCCCATATATGCGGAAGTGATGGGAGCATATGCGCCAGCACAAAATTGGCTGGCCACACACAACACAGCTACATAGGACATATAATGAGTGTTAATTAATCGTTGACGTTCGAGGCATATAATAGCGATGGCCAACATATGACCCCCCACTGCAGCACTTGTTATTATCGAAAGGAATTTTCGACCAATTTTATCGATCACCATCAGTGCCAGGAAACTGCCCAGTAAACGGAGGCAGGCAGCAGCTATGATGGGCCATTCCGTAACATTGGCATGTGCACTGTGTTCTAAAATTTTCGACAGCGGCAAGGAGAAGGTGAAGGCTAACATCATACTGCGGAAGATGAGCATTTTGGCTAATGGACCCAACCAGGCTGTTGGCCGCAGATTTTCCTGTTCACTCAAATAGGCGGCGTGTTCCTGTAACAAAACACTGGTATTCTTGTTGACCTTGGGTGGACGTTGCAGCTTTGCCAAACTATCCAATGCTGATGGTTCATCACCCATACGCAATAAATCCACAGGTGACTCTACAAAATACCAAAGCGATATGGCGGAAAATAGGGCGAATATCATATCCAATACGCCATGTAGACGATTTGCACCAAAATACGACTTCTCCTCCCACTGTACCGAGATAATCATTTGCAAAGCCATACCGAGAGTCAAAGAAAATTGTTCCAAGCCCAGACAAGTGCCACGATTTGTAACACGTGAAATATCCGCGATATGATTTAGATATTGTGTTGTGAGTAGACCCACAGCGATGCCGTTAAGATAACGACCCGCCACAAGGGCCTCCATGGTATTGTGGTCGGCTATAAAGATTATGCCTCCTCCCAACATCAACAAAGAGGATATGCCCTGTAAAAAATTATGATTTTTTTTTAATTCGGAACTTTTGAGTGACCGAAGTTTGACCTACCATTATAAATTTCCT